AAAAAAATTATGGAAATGACAGAGATGGATCTTCTATCTCGCCCAGCAACAGTAAACCTCACATTTTCAATACGGAAAAGGATGATTTCAAGGTACATGTTTGGGATGTCGATCCGTTGTGGGAAATCGAAAATCGAGGAATTCAACAAACAAGCGACAAATTCGAGATTGATAGCGATACAGATGTTGGAGTGGAGCTCGAGTTTTGTCCTAACCGACAAAAAATTCAGTCGATGCAGCCATCCTTGGGGAAATTGTGCAGAATTGGTTCCCTGGATGGCAATACGTGGTCAAAAGAAATCCCAAAAACACCGTGTCGTTATATACACGCACACTCTTGCCTTACCAAGGAAGCCCACAAGGAATGTGGAAGTCAAATACCCATGCATGAAGTGTCAGTTGATGGCAGACTTGATGGATCGCAAGGGCATTGCAACAATTTGTTCATTGTAGATAAGATTGAAAATGAATCGGATCGACGTCGGATCGCAACCTTCATTAGTTATGAGTTTACCGATGAAAATGACGATCTGATCTTCTATAGTGAATGCGTTAAAGAATATGGCTTGAATCATATCATTGTCATTGGCCAGCTTGATTTCGGAATAATTTTCTTAGATTGCTACGGTCGTGTATTTGAGTTTAATGACATGAGCCAAATGTTTTTACCACTTGGGAATTCTCTTACTGAGTTGTCAATAAAAAACCAAGCTCCTCATGTGGCATGGATTATAAAATCTGATGGAGATTTATATGAGTATGGTATGTGTGGTATGATAGTGAAGATTGTTAATTTTAGTACTATTTTGATAATATTTTTCTTTCTTTCAGATCTTCAACAATATTTTGTAAAGAAAGATAATAAGAGCAAGAAGAATTCGAAAAAGAAGAAAAGGAAGAAAAGGTGATCAATGACCTTTTAAAAGTACAACGTATTTGCATAACTTTACTACATGGTAATATTCTTTTATTTGAAATAATTTATTTGAAATAACGGTCGTAGCTAAATAATAATGATTCGTAACAAAACGTTTCTCAGTTTGCTTAAGTTCTGTATGTGGTTGCAGTGAATAAAATTATTGATAATTCATAAATTTAAGTACAAGATCGTTACCATAATTTTTATTGGAAGTTAACATCAGATGGTATAAAGTAGTAAAAAAAAAACTCGAGAATTTAAAAATTAGTTGAAAAAATGCATCAAAGTAGTGTGTGACTAGAAAATTTTCGAAAACGCCGTAATAAATCGAAATTGAAGCATGATTGTGAATGAAACGCAAAACTTTAATTTAATCACTCATTTCCATGTAATTTGCGTAATATTTGCACACATTTCGGGATTTATTTTATTTAGAGATGTTTAAAAACCCATGAGACCAGGTCCTAAACATCCTAAACAGTCGTATGAAGTTATGTCCAGTTCATCTTATAATTATAATCTATCTAATATATCTAATAGATCAACTATGACCACTTTTGTCAAATTGGTGGTCATGTCAAATTTGTTAATAATTTCCAATCACGTGACTGGCCGCAGTCAAGGATCACGGACTTCCCCTCAAAAATGTCACGAAATGGTCTGACACATGTGACATATAGTCGTGATAAATAGGATTTCACCTACCGAAAAAATTCTAAGTCCCCATAATACCTAGTAAAATGAAACGTGACAAAGGTTACGCAGTGGAAATCGGGATCAACAAACTTTTTTTTATAAAATGGTGATTAACTTAATTTTTGAGTGCAAGTTTTTCATGTAATGAAGTAATAGTAGATATTATAAAGTTATGGTTATAGTATTTATGGATGTATATGAAAATATTACTCAATTAATATACAATACAAATTCTTATATTTTAGAGAAATTAAATAATATTCAAGAAGCAAAATATAATACAATTATAAAGCTATAAAATCAATATCATTAATATTCTTAAATATTAATTTAAAGAATTAATAATATAATATAATTATTTTATAGGCACTTTATAATACAGTAGGAAAAAGAAATTTTCAAAAAATATTTTTTTGAGTTAATGTTAAATTTGAATTAAAAAGTTTATTTTATTATTCGTTTCTTTTTTATCACAGTCATTAGAAAATTTATTTTATTAAAAATGATAATTAGCTTATAAAATAATTTTTTTTTGTAGTTTCTTTCCTTTCTATTACAAAATAT